GGTTACAATAAAGTTTTTAACTCTTTATCAAGTCATTCATAAATGTGAACATTAATGTATCTCCTCTTAATTGAATGCAAGTCTCTCTTATGAGCACTTATAAAAAGTGCATGGAAGCTTACATAAGAAAATACCAAGAGAAGAAAACCAAAATAACATACTCCCTCATATTCATAATAAGTGTCATTTTGACAAGTTGCACAATTATTAAGAATATTTTTTTGCCAACAATAACCCTCATTAATGAGGATAGAGATGAATGTTTTGAGAAAAGATGAAGTGAATATGAAATGACGTAGTGTATTTATTAGCTAGATGAGGGTAATAATAGAAAAATATGCACAAAATATCCAAAACGACATTTATGTTGTTAATAGTTGATAATGCCAAAATGACATAAAAAAAGAATAGGAGGTAGTATATATATTCTCTTTCATCCTCCGCAAGACTAAAAACAGTTAATGGTTCTTGGCAACTGAGATTTTGATTGAGGTGAGTTCTAGATAGTACAGTTTTCACTTTGAGTCATCTTACCCTGGGAGAAAATGCGTAGTATTCATTTCAGAGTATCGGGGTGTTTGTTTCTCAAGGCAACAGATTTTCTGTGATTCGACAATATGTGTTCTATGACAATATAGAACTGCCAGTTAAGTTTTTTTAATAATAAATTATTGAAACTCATTTTTAATTTGCCATCTATAACAATATTTATTTTTTATTCAGTTCAGTTTGCGATTCTCAAAATAATTCAAATTGGTTCATTCGGTTAGGGGCTACATAGATTTCTAACTATATATTTTTTTAAATAAAACAATGACCCTCTAGTTATATTAAAATTTTGATAAGCTTTTTTTTTTCTTCAAAAAGTCAAAATCAACATTCCTGAATATTTAACCATATTAAATATTTTATTTTGAAATATGTTACGTCACTTTTGTCACGAACCGAGTTGAACCGCCTGTTGTGTACAAATTATTCTTTTTACTGAGTACCGAATCGAAAGATTCGTTTCCCGGGTTGATCTCTACGAGGAAGGCGGTTCGGAATTTAGCTTTGGTATCGATAACACAAAAATGAAAAAATAAATCCTAAACACTCTAATCAAATAAGGGATTAAAAATTTATTAGCTAAGAAATAAAATAAAGCAACAATCTACCTAAAAATATAAACGAAATAAAGATGGAGAAGCTAGGGAATCGGAAATAATCAATTCAAGTTTTATTCGCAAAATCGAGATATTAATTTTTCGATTTAAGATTGACACTCTCGCTTAAACATCTAGCGGTTCGCTCCCAATAACTCTTCGTAACAATGGATTGAGCATAGACGAGCAAGTTCGAGCATACGATGCCGGCCTAGAGGTTCGATTCCAATAACTCACGTAACAAGGAATAGGACATAGGCAAGCATGTATTTCAACCCAAATCTATAGCCTATTCCGTTAGGAAATCATCTAACTTGTGCAAGCCAAAGACTACAATTTTTCCCCTTTCGGTTCCAAAGATTGCTCAATTAAATCAGAGGGTGATTAACCGACTAATTCTTAGAATCAACAAAACTCTAACTCGACAAAATCAATATCCCAATATTTCTAATTGCAAGATTAAAGTGTCACCCTTCAATTATATCAATCAATCAAGCAGGTTTCATCAATTCATAACCAAAGCAACTCGCACAAGAACGAACAAATCAAGCCCGACAGATACGAATTAGACAAGAACAATCATTCTCTATCCCTAACAATTGGAATCAGCTATGTAACATGAATTCAACACAATAAATCAATTCTTTCAATTCAACCGTTTTTCATGAATTCAAAAGAAGAGAAAATAAACTTACAATAATTCCCAATTCCAAGTGTTGAATTTTATCACAAGCTTAATCCTTGAACAATAATAAAAAGAAGAAGAAAAATGGAAGAAAAGGGTGATGAGAGGAAAAGAAAACGAAGAAGAAGAAGAGAAAGGAAGGAGAAATAGCGTTTCGCGTGTTCTCGGGCCTAGGGTTCTCGTCTCCAGGAGGGGGATTGTGAAAAATTAGAGAAAAAACGAGTTTTTGGGGCTTCTATACCATTTTCGGAGTTGCAGGTGGTCTTAGCGCCGCTAAGGGGGGTTAGCGGCGCTAAGGGATGAAAGTTGCGAGCCTCTGGGGTCGTTAACATGGTTTAGCACCGCTAGATAAGCCAGCCTTAGCGCCGCTAAGGCCAGGGCAGCGCGACTTTGCCTTTCAGGCTCGTTTGGGCTCGTCCGAAATCGGGATTGAGTTCATTTTTTCCTACGCGTCGCTAACGAGCCCCTCTTTCTAATGGTTTCAGCTTCACCAAAAGATTCTCGAAAACCTGTTCTCCCGGGGTCTCCAAACTACACACAAAAAAAAAAAGAGAACAGAAAAAGACCGGAAAATAAACGGAAAACACCGCAACACTCAAATGAACCCAAAACACACAATAAATGACAAAAAGATCCTAAAACCACCTAAATGACTCAATACGGGGGAAAAAGAACCGTAAAATAATGACTAAAAATGACACAAAAATGGGACAAACACCGCCTGCGCCTTGAATTTCCTTCGTCTTTGAGCTCTAGTGACCTGCAATACGTCGGGAGGTTGTCTCGATAGAAGAACCTCTGACGCTCAAGTCAGAACTTGCTCATTAAATGTATATAAGATTATATAAATGAAGACGTATAATGTAATGACGATTATGAAGAAGAACCTGGAAACCTTGTATAGGATAACTGTCTTGGTGCTTAAGAGAGTCCATGTTAGGAAATAGATCTAACTAGATCACACTTCATAACTTACTACATCTCTATTAAGTGCCCATGAGCAAGTGCTTCTTTCTTCTTACTAAGATTCTTTCCCCCTTACTGTGCAGCCCTCAGGTGTCTAGGCCGTAACCTCGACCTCTTGACTTGTTTGTTGTGGGTTACCCGAGTTCGAAGTTGGCCTCATCGTAAGGTCTACCCTGTCGACAGATCGTACGACCTCGATACTTTGAGGTTAGCTTTACTGACGAGCTCATGGAGGTGAGCACCCCCAGGTCGTCGCCTTCAAGTAGGCCAGCACCTTAGGCCCAAATACGAGCTCCTTGTTTGGATATTTTTTTTTTTGAACAGTCCAGAGCTCTTAGACTGGCCTAACCGAGTTGTCTGCTCAGGTCGGTCCTGTCAAGCTATTATGTGTTTATGCTGTTTATGTATTATTTTTTTTAGAACTAAAGTCTCAGTTTAGTTGGCCATAAGTGGGTTAGTTTTTTAGGCGAAGGAAAGAAAGAAAAAGAAGAGAAAGAGGTCTTTAAGCGTTAGTTTAGGTGGACTTTTAACTGAGATCTGGCATGGTTAGAACCACCAAGTCTTAAACTTCAGATAGCCCAAATGATTGCCGCAGAAAGTCATCAGCGACCGGTGAAAGTCACCGGAGGACGCCCTCAGCCGACAGTGAACCCCAGCAGCTCGCAACGCCCATGTGCAAACTTCCTGCTGAACACCACAGCACGCTACGACGTCGTGTCGCATCCATTCACCGCCCGCACACCCTTATCTTCGCGCCCAACGCCCCTGCCAACATGCCCATGCACTCCAGCAACATCCTAACAACCATGGTCTGAGCGCGCCCGTGTGCCAGTGACCCGCGATGCATCTTTGCGTGCCCCAACTACATGTACGCACCCCAGCAGCACTCCTGCAGCCACCAGCGCCCACGACTGAGTAATTTACCGTGCCAGCAGCGCGTCTAGTAGCTAGCGCTCATGTGCTTGAGACCTAGCTAGCGAACCCGAGCAATTTACCCGTGAATAGGTCAACCCAAGAGGTCTGGCCAAACGAGCCGGGTCTAACTGGGCATGGAACGACCAGTTCGAGCAAGTCTAGAGAAATTAAGTTTTCGAGCCTAAGTTAGAAATTTTGAGAATTCTAGACGAGCTTAGTTCAGTCAGTATAGAGAGTTAGAAGTTTGTGTGCCTTTGTATACTTTATCTGCCTTATATGTTTATTTGTTCGTGCTTGTCATTGTCTGTCTTATTTGTTTGTTTATCGCCGCGTTAAATAATAAGATAAAAATTAGTAAACTATAGATTAAAGAAGAGTCGAGCCCTCATCCAGACGCACGAGCGTTTTCTTTCAGTTCGTAAGCAGTCAGGTGGGGATTTCTATGCTATGTCTTATTCTTAATAATTATATAATATTATGTTTAAAGTATGTTAGTGAATATTTGCCCACAAGGGGCATTGCCCCACGAGGGGCATTCTCCCGTTGGCTAGTGGGGCAAACCCGTGGATCCAATGATAAAATGTGCACATGAGACAGACTTCCGGGCAAGCTGCGTTTGAGACGGACCAATTCAGTTCAGACCAGTTTATTCATTTCTATGCTGAGATTATGGTATCTGATAATCGCCTAGTATAGATTACCATGGTGAGCTAGTTGTTTTACTCACCCCCCACAATTATCATTTTCACGTTACGCAGTTGGCACCGGACGAGGGCAATGGTGGTTATTTTATGAAGTTATTGTTTTATTGCTTCCGCTAAACTTTTATGACCATGTTATTTTCAAACATTTAAGATTGTGTTTGAATGAGTTGCAGTAATTTCATTTTAATTAATGACTAGTATTCCCGAGCTCTGCTTTGTCTAAATTGAACTGAAATAAGTGCTGGGAACAGATTTCCTAAGAACCCAAGTACAAGACATAGGTTAAGATAAGAAAGAAAGAAAACAGATAAGAAAAGGAGGAGTTTTTATTAAGTACTCTTAAGACGAGTTTTCAAAAGTTAAATTGTTTTCAAAAAGTTCGAAATTATTTTTCAGACATTTTTTAATTATAGGTAGAGGGTGCTTACAATTACCTCACCAACGAACACAAACAACCCACAACAGAACCCAACTGAGCGTCAAGCCAGAAACCCAACACAACAAAACCAAGAAACGGACCCCAAAACAAAAACTCCACGGAAGCAGTTAGGTAGAACCGGTGAGAAGGCAAGCCTTAGTCCAGATCAGAAGGCTTGAAGTCACTGGTCGAGGGAGAAAAGGGCCCGAAAGGATCAACTTTGAAGAAGCATCAGGACCAAACTCGCTCATTCTGAGGGGGCCCGACCCGACAGCGAGCCCGTTGGGAGACCACCAACCTGGAGAAGACATCAGAGCTACGACCAGAAACCGAAAATGGCCCAAAATAGGTAGAGGTTTCAGTTCAAGACGACGACACAAAACCCGACACGAGAGAGGACTTCTCTGCGCGAGCGCCACTGGCCCTCTCCCGCTCACGGCCACGATCGGAGACCGCGCTTTTCAATTAGGCTTGTTTGTAAGGAGTATTTTTTGTTTCCGTCCACTGGTCTTTGTAAAGGTTGAAACTTTAACACTATTTAAATTTTTTTATTTCAGTTCAATTTAAATTACCCTTTTTACATATAGATAAGACATTTGTATTCATATCCATACAATTGTTTGTCTAATTAATTGGATGTGTTATATATTTTGAATAAATATAAAAAATAATTACTACATAAATAATATAATATTTTAATATAAGAGTATCCAAACCAATTGAAAACCGTATACCGACCATTATTCATTCACTAGTATAATATCTGTGTATTACACGGGTGTTAAGAAATTTACATATAAAATTAGAAATAATAATAAAGAAACAATTTTTAAATACATTTTTAATAACTATATTGCTATTTATATTTAAACTAATACTCATTGGTAGTACGGTTTACCACCTTATATTATAATATATTTTTTTGAAATATTTTATTTAACAACTTTGTAGTTGAATTGATTTGAATAATTTTATTTATTTAATGAATATTGATAGGTAATTGAATTTTTATTATAAATAAAAATATAATTATTTATTTATCTATTTGTACAATATAAGTGTCAAATGGAAGCTCATCAATACATAATTAATTTGATATGTATATAAAATTGATAATAAATAGAAAAAACATTAATTTTTAAGTCTACTTATTATTTAAATAAGTTATTTTTCAGAATTTTAAAAGAAATGTGAAGAAAAAAGAAATACTGAGAAAACAATTATGTCTTAAAAATATCACGTCTAAAATATGAAATGACATAATCAATCCTCTTAAAAACAACTAGAAATATCTAATATACTATTGGTTTATTCTAAAATTAATTATTTTTTTGATTAAGAGTAAATTAAAATTCATCATAAGCCAATGACAAACATAAAATTTGGCCCATAGAATGCCGTATGCAAGCCTACTACTTATACTCAATACATTTCAGAATTCTACATATATTTGAAATTTACAGTGCCTACATTAAATTTAACCATATCATAAAAAAAATTAAAAAAATAACCCTTGTGAGTCATAGCGGGAGCAGCTTCAGCTCATGTCTCTGGGAGCTTCGTAGTTTTTCGTTGTGTTTTGTTATGTTAGTTGTCTAGTGAGTCAAGTTTTTAATTTCTAGCGTTGCTAGTATCGGGTTTCTAAGCGTTCGTAAAACATGTCTCTCATTTTATTCATCTTTTGGCTGTTTTTTTTTCTTCCGTTGGGAGCTTTGTATTTTTATTTGTGCGTTCGTTTAATAGATCCTCTTCCGGTAAAAATAAAATAAAATACCATGAGCACGTGCTCACGTGATAAATTTACACGTGTGATCGGACATTTTCCTCATTCCGAATCAATGGCCAAGATTTCATCTCTTTCATCGAGCTAGGGTTTCTCAGCATCCCCCTTTTCATATATAAATTATTACTTGCAGTTGATTTCGTTCTTCGAGTGCGGTGCAGTTCCCTGCCCTCCCAAAGCATAAAAAAAAAAAAAAAAAAAAAAGGAAAAAAACCCCCAAAAATTCTATCTTTATCTGCGTTTATCGTTTGCTACCCCTTCAAATTTATCACAATTCATCTTACCATCAACCAAAAACCCAAAAAAAATTATCAATTTTGTTTCAGTTGCTTCACCGTTAGCGATTTTTCTGTGGCATCTGTACGTGCAATAACACATAGAAGGAGAAAGTTCAAGAAAAGCCCAAAAAAAGAGAAGGAAATCTGACTTTAATCGGAGGATTATGGCGCAGATTCAGGTTCAACCCCAGAATGTGGCGACGCCTGGGCCCAATGGTGCGGCTGCCGGCCAGTTTGTGTCGACCTCGCTGTACGTAGGTGACCTGGATATCAACGTGACGGACTCCCAGCTCTACGATCTTTTCAATCAGGTTGGGCAGGTTGTCTCAGTTAGGGTTTGCCGTGACCTGAGCACTCGCCGCAGCCTTGGCTATGGTTATGTTAACTATAGCAACTCCCAGGATGGTTAGTATTTGGAGTCCCCTTTAAGTTCGTTAATAATGCAGCATTGTTGAATCTGATTTTTGCTTAGTTGAGGGTGTATTTGACAACGGGAATGTGGTCTCTTAGTAGTAAACTTCGACTGCAGTTGAGTAGTCACGTAACGGCGTAGTGCTGAAAATAATTGGATGAACACGAATGCCGGAACAATTAGTGCTTCAAATGCTTATTCCACGTTTTTATGAGCCAATATTAGTTGAATCATCGTTACTGAAAGATTGTAAATGTGGATGCTCAACATTGGTTGTAGAAAGGTTGCTTAGCAAAAAAAAAGTTACTTTTTGTATTGCTTTGTAATACATGTGGGATGGGATCAAGCCAATAAAAGTATTTGAGTGATATCCCCTTGCTTAGTGATGTTCAAAGATAAATCTGAAAAGTTCCTGTTTTATTGATGATGCTTTCAAGTTGGTAGTGGAACATGGTTGTTTTTTGTTGTGGCTCCTTCCTATAAGATCTACAATGTGAAAATTTTTCTCTTTAGCTTTTGCTCTTATGTTTTTAATCAAGTTTGAAATGATTGGCTAACAGCAATAGTTTGTAAAGTCTGATAAACAATTAGAAGACTGCTTGGTGGTGACTAGGACCTATTAGAAATCGTAATGGGCTAAGAATCTTTCTCTCGTATTTCCAGCCTTTGCTATATTCCTTCTCTTGTTTGGACAGTGTTATCTATTTGTTTCATGTTGTGTACCTCTGCATCTTTATTATGTTATTTTTTATGATATAAGTTTGGTGTCCCTTTGAAACTCTTTAAGCAAATTTACCGTCTCTGATGATTGCAGCGGCAAGAGCTATGGAAGTTTTGAACTTCACTCCCCTCAACAACAAGGCAATCCGGGTCATGTATTCTCATCGGGACCCAAGCGTCCGAAAGAGTGGAACCGGAAATATTTTTATCAAGGTACTTCTGTTGTCAATTTCGCTTCCATTTTTGTATTACCATTTTATCCATTATATGATGTTTTGTTTTCTTGTTCATGCTTCCTGTTGAAAGCTAATTAGCATGATTATTCTTAATTATTGGATAGTGTTTTAGTTTGGCAAACTTAAACCTGAGCACATTTATTATTATCTGCATGTCTAGTTCCAGAGCTGGCTGAAAAATGGGAATTGACTTCTATATTGTTACGAAGATTCAGATTACCTGTCAACTGCAGTTCATTTTTTACAAGTTTGTTCATTTATATAATTCTCAGTATTACACATACATTCTCCTAACGATCTTCTGTGTGTGTATCTTATTTCCGCAAATATCTTGTTACGTTGTGTGCTGATTGTATAATACTTGAGCTTTACTTTCTCTTATCCAGAATCTGGATAAATCAATCGACAACAAAGCACTGCACGACACTTTTTCAAGCTTTGGGAATATACTTTCCTGCAAGATTGCTACTGATCCTAATGGCCAATCAAAGGGCTATGGATTTGTCCAATTTGAAACTGAAGAAGCTGCACAAAATGCTATAGATAAGTTGAATGGGATGCTTATTAATGATAAGCAAGTGTATGTTGGGCATTTCCTACGTAAGCAGGAGAGAGAAACTGAAATCATCAAGACAAAGTTCAATAATGTGTTTGTGAAAAATTTGGCCGAATCTGCTACTGATGATGATCTGAAGAAAATTTTTGGTGAATACGGAACAATCACCAGTTCCGTGGTGATGCGAGATGCTGATGGAAAGTCAAGATGTTTTGGATTTGTCAATTTTGAAAATGCTGATGATGCTGCTAAAGCTGTTGAAGCTCTAAATGGGAAGAAAATTGATGAAAAAGAGTTGTATGTGGGGAAAGCCCAGAAGAAGTCTGAGAGGGAGCAAGATCTGAAAAATCGTTTTGAGCAGACTACTAGAGAAACTGTTGACAAATTTCAAGGGCTTAATTTGTATGTGAAGAATTTGGATGATAGCATTGATGATGAGAAATTGAAAGAACTCTTTTCGGAGTTTGGTACTATTACTTCTTGCAAGGTAATTTGGCATCTGCTTAACTGCAAGTTTATGGACCAAATTTACATAAGTTATAGTGACTGAATTCTTCTGTCTTTGTTGCAGGTCATGCGAGATCCTAGTGGGATTAGCAGAGGTTCTGGTTTTGTTGCCTTTTCAACTCCAGAAGAAGCTTCTAGAGCTGTGAGTTATATACATTTATAGATTCCATTTCTTAATATGATGCCCCAACTTATCGGAATATTGCTTTTGTGTCTTAGCTTTCTGAGATGAACAGCAAAATGGTGATAAGCAAGCCACTCTATGTTGCGCTTGCACAGCGTAAAGAGGAGAGAAAAGCAAGATTACAGGTGAAATTCTGTTTTTTAAGAACGTCTTTCGTCTGATTTGACTTTTCATGGGTGCTATATTGAAAAGCATTTTCATTTCCATTCCACTTCTACTTGACAATGTTATTGCATATTGCAAATGTTATCTATGTGGGATGTCTACTCCAATAGCCCATGATTCAGTTCAAAATAGTTACTTGTTACAGGTTTTTTGACTTCACAATATCATGACTCAAAATGCTGTACACTATGCCTGCTCTGTTTATCTTTTTGTGGGATATATATAACTGGTGGTGACCTCCCAGCTCTGTTGTTATTGACCAGTGTTTTGCTCTAATTATGGTATCCAAAATTGTTTATAGCCATCACAGCTTAGAAGTTCTAAATTTATATTATTGAACACTACATGCTCCCATGTTTTATGTACTGTACTAGTTTTATCAAATGGCTTCCATGGCATGGCGGATTTCAGCCAATCCCCCATGCTAAATATGTGAACATGACGGTTATGGAATCGCCACAGGCCGCCATGAGGCGGTTGCGGTGGCAGCGGGATTTTGGCCTGCTGCTGTTATCCGCCAACCGCTGTTGATTACATTGCACTGTACTCAATATACAACTGCGTATTTAGGTATCTCTTGTCTGCTTTTGGCCTCACCTTTTCAGGAAGAGAACTTTGACATCTTCCAAATTCCAATCATATAACAGGCCACATAGATCTCTTTAAATCATTTTCAGGATTCATTGAATCCAGTTGTAACTTGTCTATTAATTGCAGGCTCAGTTTTCCCAGATGAGGCCTGTTGCCATGCCAGCATCAATTGCTCCTCGTATGCCTTTGTATCCTCCTGGTGCTCCGGGTATTGGTCAGCAGCTATTCTATGGGCAACCTCCTGCTATGATACCACCCCAGGTGACAGTTGCTGCCTCCTTAGTTCTATTATTTCTCAGCTTGTCCATTTAAATACCGAATGTTCTCAGTCTCAAGAGTTCTAAAAAAATGGAATGAATTTTGAAAGTTGGGTACTGGTTTTGTATTTTTGCTTTGCTAAATGGAATGTTTTTAATGTTGGTTTGCAGATGCTGAGTGTTTAAAATGGGTGTTACAAGTTTCATTTTTATTGGAAGTTAGTAATACTGTGTTTCATGATATCAACACAAGCTGTTAATATATGGTCTCATGATCCAGTCTTAATCTCTGTTTGAGCTTATGTGCATGTGTCCGGCTTGGTATCTCTTTGTTTTCATGGAATATATGGTTTGTTGATCCTTGAGTTCATTTAATGAGTCACAGGCTGTAGGTTGATCCTTCTCTTCTTGCAAGTTTCTTGTTATGGATAATGGTATTTATTATTGTGCTATCAAAGCCGAGGTCATTGTTGTACCCACTTTTTCTTCTTCGGGTGTATTAATATCGCAATTTTTATAGCATATCATTTGTCACCAGTGTTGTTAAATAGCAGCCATAGCTTATGGCTTGGCGGTTTTTAGCCCGACTGCCATGAGAAATGAAATATAAAAACCCTTACGTCCACGCTATCTGCTATATATATTATATTAATATGTGGCGGTCTTTTGGCTTGCCGCTTGTACCGATATTTTTCGCTTATAGTCTTTGTGTACCTATATATATATATGTGGCGGTCTTTTGGCTTGCCGCTTATACTGATATTTTTCACTCTAGTCTGTGTGTAACTGTGTACCATTTGTAACTTTACTGGTGAAAATCTTGTAGGCTGGATTTGGCTATCAGCAGCAGCTGGTACCTGGAATGCGTCCGGGTGGCCCCTTGCCGAACTTCTTTGTACCGCTAGTCCAGCAGGGTCAGCAGGGCCAGCGTCCTGGTGGAAGACATGGAGTGGCTGGAGTTCAGCCTGTGCCGCAGCTAATGCGGTCACAAGTAAGTTGTGCTTGTGTTTTTTCTTTTTTATTTATTTATTTATTTATCTATTTTTTAAAATTTTGGTTATTACTGAAGTTTGAACTGATCATCATATGAAAACAAATAATGTTGAAATTTACGAATACAGTCCACTCCTAAATTCCATATTCGCAATACCCTACCCCTCGGTGTAATATAATATCAAGTGGCTATTTGTTGCTGATTTTTTTTTTAATAATTGTTATTTACTTTGATAGATGATGCCGAGGGGGAGGATGCAGCGGTACCCTCCCGGTCGTAACATGCAGGATGGCCCGATGCCGGGTATTGGTGGCGGGATGCTTTCGGTGCCCTATGAGATGGGTGGCACTGCTCCTGCTGCTGTTCCGCAGCCCATGCCGATTACTGCTCTTGCCTCTGCTCTCGCTAATGCAACTCCAGAACAGCAGAGGACGGTAAGCTTAAAATCCTATATTACATTAGATTTGTTTCCATATTCTTATTTGGTGTTTGCGAATTGAAATCATTTTATTTTTCGTCAGAACTATCAATTTATAGTTTTTTGTTTTTTACTTTTATTTTTTTTGCAACAGATGCTGGGAGAGAACCTGTACCCACTGGTTGACCAGCTGGAGCACGAGCACGCTGCAAAAGTGACGGGCATGCTTCTGGAGATGGACCAGACAGAAGTTCTGCATCTGCTGGAATCACCCGAAGCTCTCAAAGCAAAGGTGGCTGAGGCTATGGATGTCCTGAGGAACGTGAACTCCCCTGCCGATCAGCTTGCCTCCCTCTCCCTGAATGACAACCTCATCTCTTGATTTACTTTTTACTGTTAGTGGGTTTAGTCGGATGGTTTGATTTTGGACGATACCGAAGTTTTTTTTTGTTTCTTTCTTTGTGGGAGTTTGGAGAGATTTGCGTTACTTTCTCGGGGTCATTTTTGGTTGCTTTATTATGAAGTTTTATTGTGTTTCTGGATTTGAATGGCTTTGTGCTAGTTTGCTTCCTTTATCTAATCCAATCCCGAATTTGGTTATTTTTCTTTGAAGTCTTTATATTGCAAATGTTTATTCAATTACTGCTCGTTTTCTGAAGACTGTTGGAGAGTATGAATATATTTCTTTTTTCTTTATTTATTTGGGATGCAAAGTTCTAGCCTACAAACAGTAATGAACATGGTTTAAATAGTGTTCTTAGGTGGCTTATTTTCTGGTAGCGTGAGGCACTGATGCGGCATGGAGCTGGAGCTTATGTTTTTGTGTTGTTTTGTTTTCCCCACGTCTCGTGTCTAGGGAATGTTGTTGGTGGTAGAAATCGAATAATATTTTATTTTATTTTATTTTATTTTTATGTTGCACTCCCTATTCATTTTTCTTACCAATATATATACAAATACACATAACCCATCAATCACGAGAGAAAGGTGCTCCGTGAAACAAAGATGGAGGCCACAAGGCCTAAGATTGTGGTCCTAGAAGTAAGGATAATATGATAATTTTTCATACAAAACAGTGGGACCCACGCCACCACACCACTTTTTTTTTTTTGGTTACAACTATGGAGGCCACAAGGCCTAAGATTGTGGTCCTAGAATTCGACGTGGGTGAGCCACACCACGGAAGTCGTGGTCAAGCCAATCATTCAATCCCTGGGGCGGAGACAAGGATCTCTGAAGTCCTAACGGGGAAGAGAAGGCCAAAGTCGCCATGTGGTCTGCCTCAAAGTTGGCTTCCCTATGGACGTGCTGGATCCGGACAACCCAATCTCTATCTACTAAGCTTCGAATGGACCTGACTAGAGATTCGTGGACACCAAAGTGCTCTTTGGGTCCAAGTACCATCTGCATCACGCACTTGCTATCAGTTTCAGCTATTACTTGTCTAAATCCCAGCTCCCAAGCAACTTGTAGTCCTTGGAGCAGTCCCCATAATTCGGCCCCGGTGATAGTGCCAATACCTATATTCATGCCAAATCCCTCAATCCACCGGCCAGACTCATTCCGAAGCACTCCACCTTCACTACACATACCCGTGGTGCGACTGAAAGCCCCGTCTGTGTTCACCTTGATCCCACCCGGGTCCGGTGGGTGCCATTGAATCATGCGTAATGTGTGTACAACCGCTCCCACCTTCGCATAAGCTGCTTCCGCTTTCTCGTAAGCTTCCGCACGACGGAGCACATCTAGATAGCGAGATTTGCATCCGAGACTCTGGCCATTAAAAATCCTCTCGTTTCGAGCCTGCCGTGAACTCCACGTCCCAAACGCAAATATACCATGCCAGTTTTTAAGCCCGCCGATCGGCGCCCCTCCTAAGTTATTTTGCAACCATGGCCGAAGCTCCATATGAAAAAACTTGACCTCCAAACCGGGCGGGATAAGTTTGCGCCACACCACTTTGGTTCTCGGGCAGTCGCGGAGCACATGTAACGTGGACTCGAAGGAACCGCAAATATCACACTCCGGCGAGCTAGTCAGATGGCGGCGGGTCCGTTCGCCATTGGTCAAAAGCCGGTCGCGGGCTGCAAGCCATAAGAACGTCCGAACTCGTTGTGGTACTGAGGATCTCCAAATTAGCTTCCAAAGGGTACGGTCTGGCTCAGGTCTTAGTTGGTCTAAGGTTGCGTAGGCCGTACTCGTGGAAAACTGCCCAACGTGCGAAGCCCCCCACATAAGGCACGCCACCACACCACTAACATGTGGGACCGACCTGCCACATCACTCTGCACCTCTCATTCCCTCTCTCCCTCTCACACAGACACACACGTCACCACCCCACACATACACAAACACCCCCGCACACACATACACACAACACACACGTCTATACACACCACGTACGCACACACACTCCTACTCACACATATTACACACACACACTCATACACTACCACCACACAACCACTAACACGTGCGATCCACCTGCCACATCACTCACTATCTCTAATTCTCTCTTTCCTTCTCTCACACACACACGCCACGTCACCACCCACACACAAAAACTTAACACACACGCACACACAACACATGCGCCCACACACACAACACACGTACGTCTACACACACCACGTACGCACACACACTCCAACTAACACTCATTTCACACACACACACACCCTCCCCTCCCCCCCACACACACTACTTACAACAATCGTCGGCCCGCAGCCCTATTCAGCTATCGTAGCCCGCAGCACACCACCGTTGGTCGCCGGAGTCCAATGTCACATCACTGTTGGAGCTCGTCGAAACGCTATCGTCGGAGTGTGCTGACACGCTGCGGCCATAACACACAACACACTTCAGCACACACATAACATATATAGACACGCACGGACAGGATGGCTGCGGCACCACCATCCCATAGGCCGACATCCATCGTCCGCCGTCTACTTTACTATCTTTGTCGCTGTTGCGCGAAGTCGACGTTGCTTGAAGCCAGAACATGCGCGGCCTAGGGTCGTTGCCAGTTGTTTCGCTCCTTAGATTTGTTACTACTTTCGAACGAGTTCTAACACTATAGGTGACGCCGAAGTACGTCACGTTTACAAAAAAATATATAAACACATCTTATTTTGTACTTATTTGTTTAAATACACACACATATATGTCTTACAAACCAAAAACAATATAACTTACACTACAAAAAAACCTCTTACATTCCAACGGAAATTTTCCGTTGGAATTCTTTATATATCCGTTGGAATAGGTATTCCAACATATATTCCTACATATAAAAATTCGTAGGAAAAACGACTGTTGGAATAGCTAAAATCCAACGGAAAATCCTATGGAAATAAATTCCTACAGCTATTCCAACGGAAAAAATCCGTTGAAATTCCTCAACCATCCAACACTTTTTCCAACATAAAATTAAGTTTGTTGGAATATTCATTGGAATTTCCAACGGAAATTGTTGCCGTTGGAATTTTTCGTTGGAATTGAAGTGTTTTCTTGTAGTGTTAGTATATAAAAATATTGAAATCTTAAACATATTTTTAAAATACAAATGTTTAAAATTTGCAAATTCTAAACAGGGATCCATTGACACTACAAGAAAAACTGCATTTGACGACGCTTATTAATGACGCTTATTGGCGAGTTGTGTTGCTAAATTTGATGTCATAAAAAAATAAGCGTCAATAAACAAAAAAATAAGCGTCGCCAAATGCAGTTTTTCTTGTAGTGTGACTTTTTTTTTTTTAAGAAAAAAAACAGATAGTGTTGAGGATAACTTTACAATTTTATTTATTTTGAGTATTTTTTAATTTAATTCATGACTAAATATGTAGTTTATTGCAATATTTCATACATGCATATTAATGATAAATAAATTGTACAATGTTTAAAAAAATCTTTTCTTCGTATTTTATTTCGTAGCTAGGGCGGATTTGCCAGGAGTACCGGGGCTCTTACGCATGCGTGGGCTGATTCCAAGCCTTTACCAAAAGAGATTAATATGTAAAATTTTGACATATAAAAAATGTTGAAATAATTAATATAAATTTACAATAAAAAATAATAAATTATTTCAATTATCTATTCTATATATATATAAAAAGAATTACCATTTTTTAAAAATAGTAGGTCAAATTCTAGTCAAATCTCAATTAGCATTAATTACATTCTATACTTAGTAACTTTTTTTTTTGAAAAAAATCAGCATTAAATGCTACCCTAAAATTATGGTATTTGTTAATTTTCTTTCAAAAAATCGTGTTACCTTAAAGAAACAATATTACATACCATAAATTTTTGGCTAACTAAAGTGTTTTGTTTGGAAACTATTATATTTTAATTAAAACTAATTAAGGTTGATTTAAACTTGAAATTGTACAACAATTTTTTTTTTTAATATGCACCCTAAATTTATATATTTTGTGGATTTAATTTAGGTAAATTTCGACTGATGCAAAAGTCAATTTTCTTTCTCTATTTTTTAAAAAAAAATTGATTAAAATAAAATCAAGAATTTTAAATTAGGCAAAATACTATCACATATATCTTTTACTAATTGTAACAAATCAATTATTTATTATAAAAATCGGATTACATAGTCGGCATGACAATTTTGTAAAAGTCAAAATTCTTTCATTTTTCATTAAAAAAATTGTTTACCATACAATCGAGAATTTTGATTTAGACAAAACACTATAACATATATCTTTACCTAATTGTAGCATATCATGTTTATTAAAAAAATTAGATTACATAAAAATCCGGCCAAATTTCAAATTAAAATTTAAAAATCTTTTATCATTTTATTACTACTTTCTTTAATTCGGACTTTTTTTAAGCATAAAATAAAATCATATAATATTAATTTGAAATTCAAAATGAAATCGGATTGTAACATCTATATTCCGCTAAATAATTTAATCGATTTATTTTTTTTGGTACAATCTACTTTAATCGAGTCGGGTAGGACCACAAGGGCGGCAAAGCTCTCCCTCAAGAGTTTTTAACACTGCTGCATTCCCAGGGCTTCGATTTATTTAATACTATCTACAATCTTAATATAATTTGTGGCGATAGACGATGTACCAAAAGACCAAACAAATAATTTTGTGTACAATGATGTGTTTAATAATATATAACGTGACATTGTGTTTCATTTCAATATATGTATTTTACGCTCTTCCAATCATCCAAATTTAACTACCTACCTTAATAAAACTAGCTCGTGCATCGCACGGGTACCGCACTAGTTTAGGTTAATTCGATGTACAATTATATCTACTAAATCTAGTTTTCAAAAACACATAATATATACGTGATCATATAAAATCGTACACTTTATATATGAGCACGTTGCACTTTATAAAACAATATGTTGCACTTTATCACCACGACACCACATTTAACGTCAACATCTCCCGCCAAAGTAACACATAACATAAATAAAAAAAAAAGAAAAACAGATATCAAGTGCTTACTGGTGACACATATTCTCTTAATAAATATATATGGTCACCAATCAACACCTGAATCAACGCTGAAGTCAACGGTCAATATCGAAATCAACAGTCAGCTGTCAGATGTTCTAAATAAAATTTAAATAATTAGAATAAATAATATATAAAATTAAATTTTAGCCATTCATACTTAATGATATATGGTCTATTCTTTCATACTCACTTCAAATAAGTAAACTTATTGAATATATAGATTGGAAGTTGTGTTTCACATTCCAACTTTGGTCTCAATTAAAAAATGATGAAACTCATTTTAAAGGAACCAAATTTATCTCGTGATATTTTGCTCTAACAATCAAGAAATAGAATGAACATTATCACACCACATAAAACTTAGTGTGGGTAGGTTTTTTACTTCATTTATTGTGAAACACATGAACTTGCATTTTTTTTTTTATCCCAACACAAATTTAACCATGGGCCGCACGTGCCGACCGACACGTACCCTCGGACATGTTCCTCACTACAAATTCAACGGCCACGATTTCATCTCTTTGATCCAGAGCTAGGGTTTCTAAAACAAGCCATTTTCATAGTATATAACGTCTCGCCACTCCCACAGTCTTCTTCGAGTGCGGTGTGCAGTTCCCTGCCCTCCCCAAAGCCAGAGAAAACCCAAATTCTCTATCAAATTCTATCGCAATTCCTCCATTATCATTTGTTGTTTCAATTTGCTCACTTTTTGCTTCATTCTGTTGTAACTGTACGTGAAAGGGTAGGAAGATTTTCCTCAAAGATCCTCTAAAAAGCAAAGAAAGTTTCCATCTTCAGTCGGAGGAAAATGGCGCAGATTCAAGTGCAAACCCAGAATGTGGCTGCTCCTGGATCCAATGGTGCGGCTGCGGCTGCGGCCCAGTTTCCGTCGACGTCTCTGTACGTAGGAGACCTGGACGTCAGCGTTACGGATTCCCAGCTCTACGATCTTTTCAATCAGGTTGGGCAGGTTGTGTCAGTTAGGGTTTGCCGTGACCTGAGCACTCGACGCAGCCTTGGCTATGGTTATGTTAACTATAGCAACCCCCAGGATGGTAAGTGTTTGGGGCGCTCTTTAAGTCTGTGAGTAGTGCAGTTTTATAGAATCTGATTTTGCTTACTTGAGGTCTGTCTTTGATCACGAGACTGTTAAGACATGTGAGTAGTCGATGGGTGTGTTACATTGTAGACGCACACATTATGATTTGTGCCGAAAAGAATTGGGAGAAATGGTTAAATGTGCTGCATTTGAGTAGTCAATGGGTTTTACATGGTAGGCTCTAATGTTACTGCTTAGTGCTGAAAATATTATTGTAGACTCACACATTATGATTGGTGCTGAAAAGAATTGGGATAAATGGTTAAATATGCTGCATTTGAGTAGTCAATGGGTTTTACATGGTAGGCTCTAATGTTACTGCTTAGTGCTGAAAATATTGGGAGAAATGAGCAAATGACTCACTAAATGTATTGGTGCTTCTATTACTTATTACACATTTTTTATGAGCCAGACGAACTTGGTCGTAAATGTTATTTAGTGCTTCATTTTCTTATTTTACATGGTTATGGGGTCACTCTATTTGGTTATTTCTGAAAGTAAGTTTGTAGTTCTTGATGTTAGATGTTTGGTTTAGTTTGCTTAGCTTAAAATGTATCAGTTGTGCTGTTGTAATTTAGACTGATGTAATATTTGAATTGTGGTCCGCGAGCGATATTCCTCAAATATAATCTTGAGTGTCCTTGTTTTGGTGATGATTATCGAGCTTTCTGAATTATGGTAATGTGATGATTTGTTGAGGTGTGGTGGCTCCTTCATGTTGGTTTTACAATGTGAGAGTTGTCTCTTTAGCGTTTGCTCTTATGTTTCTGATTATTTATATTAAGATTGTTAGGCATCACATTTGTAGATCAATTTTGAGAAGCCTATTCACCTGTTGCTCATATTTCAAGCCTTTTATGCATTGTCATATGATTGACGGACATATTTATTTTTTTCCCGTTGCGTACTTCTGTAACCTGACTGTTTAAATTTGTTGTCTTGTGAAAAAACAAATATGACTGAAAGGATGCTAAATTACTTGCCTCTTGATTACAGCGACAAGAGCTATAGAATTGTTGAACTTCACTCCTCTCAATAACAAGACAATCCGGGTGATGTTTTCTCATCGGGACCCAAGTGTCCGAAAAAGTGGAACGGCAAATATTTTCATCAAGGTATTTTTGTTGTCATTTGTGCTTCCATATTTAGAATACCTGTTACTCCATATTATGATATGACATGATATGATATTTTATAGTTCTGGTTCTTGCTCTTGTAGAAAGATTTTCTAAGTAAACTAAACAACATTTGGTACGGAACTATAAACATGATTACCTCTTGTTCTTTTAAAAGCTGGCCAAAATTAAAACTAAGCATGTCTAGTAATATCTTAATGGCTAATTCGTATCTGTTTCACTAGTAGGACTTGACTTGATTGATATGGAGATTGGATTATTAGATTACCAGTCAACTGCAATTTCATTTCTTTGCTACTTTATTCTACTAATAGTATCCAACATATATATATATGTATATGCATATATTGTGCTAACTATCTCTCTGGTGTATACTGTACTCCTGCAGTATCATTTTATCCTGTGTGGTTATGTTACTGTTCTTGTGTGCTAATTTTTCTTATTCAGAATTTGGACAAATCAATTGACAACAAATCACTGCACGACACTTTCTCAAGCTTTGGGAATATACTCTCCTGCAAGATCGCTACAGATCCTAATGGACAATCCAAAGGCTATGGATTTGTCCAATTTGAAACGGAA